TTTTTGTGGTAAGTCAGTTTTAAAATTCTTCTTCTCTCCCTAGAACTGGGAAAACCTGCAGAATAATCTTTATATATCTAAACATATATATATTTGTGCTTGCTAGGACATAATAAGAGAAGCTTGGTACTGGAAGCCTTGGGTGGGGTAAGGGTTTAAGAGGCTTCTTAGAAGGATAAGCATCCAGGAGGCTGAACCTCTGGAGGGAACATTAAGCACATCTGTCTCCACCTCCAGTCTTAGGCAGGTCCCCTTGTGACAGCCGTATGTGGTGTTTCTCCACCTCCACTCAGACACATGCAGCAAGGGAGACCCCACCCAACAGTCTGTTCCTGGGCATCTCCCATTTTTATGAGGTTCTCTTTTTCTTTCTTTCTTTTTTTTTTAAGTTAGGGTCTCACTCTGTCACCCAGGCTGGAGTACAGTGACATGATCTCAGCTCACTGCAACCTCAACCTCACAAGCTCAAGCGATCCTTCCTCCTCAGCTTCCCAAGTAGCTGGGACTGCAGGCATGCGCCACTATGCCTGGCTAATTTTTAATATTTTTTTGTAGAGATGAGGTCTCACTCTGTTGCCCAGGCTGTCTCAAACTCCTGGACTCAAGCAATCCTTCCACTTCAGCCTCCCAAAGTGCTGGGATTACCGGTGTGAGCCACCACACCCAGCCATGAGTTTCTTAATATTGAGTGAAATCTGCGTTTTGGGGTAGATTCCATCAGCTGGTCCCAGCACTGATCTCTGTCATATCCTCTTGTGAGACACACACCATGCTATATAAAATTATACCCCACATATGCACTCCCCTGTCCACAATCAGAGAACAATAGCTGTAGCCAAAGATGCTGGGGAAATTTGGCCAGGAAGCATATTTTCTTAGTTTTTTGTTTTTGTTTTTGTTTTGAGTCAGAGTCTCACTCTGTCACTCAGACGGAGTGCAGTGGCTCACTCATGGCCACTGCAGCCTTGACCTGCTGGGCTCTGGCGATACTTCCACCTCAGCCTTCCAAGTAGCCAGAACTACAGGTGTGCGCTACCACAACTGAATAATTTTTTTATTTATTGTAGAGATGCAGTCACGCCAAGCTGCCCAGGCTGGTCTCGAACCCCTAGGCTTGGGCAATCCTCTCACCTCGACCTCCCAAAGTGCTGGGATTACAGGCCTGAGCCACCATGCCCAGTCATATTTTCTTAGATTTTACCAACCAAGTTATCATAGTAATGTTCGGTTGTTCTGGTAGTGAGAGCGTCCAATGTGTCAAGCACCATGCTAAATGCTTTATCTATTTGATCACATTTCAACCTCCAACAGCCCTGCTGGATTTGGTATTATCTTTACTTAGGAGAAACCAGGGCTTAGGGGGTTTAAGTAAGTTGCTCAAGAGCACCTAGTCAGTACATTTATGGATATAGGGTTCGAACTAAGGTGTGCGCACCCCACAGCCCATCCTCTAGACTCAGAGCAAGAAAATAAGTCAGAGACTCAGACAAAAAAAAAGTAGCTTATTGCTTTTTGTTCCCTTGAGAGAGATCCATTTGAAAACTCCCTGCTACTTAAAAATTCTTTTCATAGGATATTTGAAAAGAGAACAGAGGAGAGAATGTGCTGAGAGCTTCAAGGGGTTCTCAGGGCAAGCCCGGAGTCCCTGGTGTGGGTGGGGAGTGAGAAGGTATCAGGGCAGCCCACAAGCTCCATCAGATGCCCCCCTGGCTAAGAGCACAGCCAGGTCACCATTCCCCAGGGCCTGTGCAGGCCTGAGCTGCAGGCCGCTTCAGGCGAAAATTCAAAACATGGTTCTGTTTTTTTAATCTTTGAGAATAATGTTAGGATGTTAAACTAGGCTATGACATAGCCCAGTGGAGTTTTCTAGTTTACTTTCATATTGAGGTATAATTATGTATAGTAAAATGCACTGTTTTTGTCAGTTGGGGCTGCTATAACAGGAATACCATAAACTGGGTGACTTAAACACCAAGCATGTAAGAGGTTGAGAAGTCTAAGATTAAGGCGCCAACAGATCTGACGTCTAGTGGAGCCCACTGACTGGTTTACAGGTGGTCGTCTTCTCACTGCATCCACACAGGCCAGAGAAGAGAGAGAGACAGAAAGCTCTCGTGTCTCCTCTTCTGAGGGCACTAATCCCATTCAGGTGGGCTTCACCCTCATGACCTGATCACTCCCAAAGACCCCACCTCCTGGTGTCATCACATTGGGGGTTAGGATTTCAATACATGAGTTTGGGGGGGACACAAGCATCTGGTCCATATAGGCACAGATCATAAGTGTACATACAGTTTTAAGAGTTTTATTTGTTGTTGTTGTTTTGTTTGTTTGCTTGCTTGTTTGTTTGAATCAGGTCTCATTCTGTCGCCCAGGCTGAAGTACAGTGGCATGATCATGGCTCATCGTGGCCTCGACCTCCTGGGCTCATACGATCCTTCTGCCTCAGCCTCCCGAGTAACTGGGACTGCAAGCACATGCCATCACACCTGGTTAATTTTTTGAATTTTTGTAGAGAAGTGGTCTGGCTGTATTGCCTAGGCTGGTCTCAATCTCCTGGGCTCAAGCAGTTCTCCTGCCTCAGTTTCCCAAGATGCTGGGATAACAGGTGTGAGCACCTACACCTGGCCTGGTTTTATGAGTTTTAACAAACACACCTATGTGGTCAACAACCCAGTCAGGAAAGCTTTTCTGTCACCCTAGAACGTTCTCTCATGTTCCCTTCCAGTCAATCTCCTACTCCTACCAGAGATCAGCTGTGGTTTGTTTGGTGTTTTCTATGTATTCCTCATCTCTGGTGAGGGAGGCGGGAGAGTGCAGAATGGGGGCCTTGATAACAGGGCCAGAACTGAGTTGCACTTGCTCAGGAGAGTAAGCACCTCCTAGCATTTTGCATCCTGCACGCCTCATATACCTCAGTCTGGTCCCAGCCCTGTTGACAGGGTGACCTCTTGCAGAGGCACTAAAACAGATCGTGTGGGCCAGGCCCCATGTTGGCTAAATCAACTTGACAAGGCATATGCTTCCAGGGTTTGTGACACCGACTTTCATGAACATCACACTTTTAAGTCGCTTCTGTTTCCCTCTCTACTTAAGCTATTCCTGGCCCCTACAATGAGAAGCTACATAAAATGCCCCTCACTGACAGCTCCTGGGCATTGGGTACAGGACGTTGCTCCTTCTCCCATTCCAAGCCTCCTCGTCAGCAGGCATGGGCTCTCCAAAGGAACTGTTATTCAGCCCGGTGAATGAGTGGGTGTTCTGATTCTTCACAAACCCTTGTTCTTAAGTGGGAACTCTAATCGTGCGCTTCGTGTACCCTCGTTATTAACGCATACTATAATTGTCATGCTTGTTCTGTAAAGTTGAGAATAATCCGTCCATAGTAGAACATACTTAACTTGAAACTTAGACTGAACATAATTAAATCTTCCCTGGATGGCTCCAAAGGGAGTGGGGAATTGCGCGGTCCTCCAAAAGCATCATTATAATTCCTGTTTAATTCATGTAGAATTTCTAATTAGCCAACTATTAGAGCATTTCTGTGAACAGAATGACGGATGTGGCCATCTCATATTTGCATGTCCTATGTACAAGATTTTTACAATTCCAGGTGGGAAAACCACATGCAGAACTAGGTTTTAAATTGAAACCTTATCTAAAATGCTGAGTATGGTTTATGTGAGAATTCAACACCCGAAGGACACCATCATTGGTAGCTCATAGGCCTTGGAATCAGCCATACCTGGTTCAAACCAAAGCTCAGTCATCTACAAACTCTGTGGCCTTGAACAAGCTACTTACCACCCCAAGCCTCAGTTTCCTCATCTGTGAAATAGGGCTAATAATGGTACTTATCACAGACATTTGTTGTGTGGATTAAATGAGTGTGCACTTGAAGGGCTTTACAAAGGCTGGCATGATTAGCCGGGTGTGGAAGTGACACCTGTAGTCCCAGTTACTCGAGAAGCTGAGGTGGGAGGATCACTTGAACCCAGGAGTTCGAGGTTGCAGTGAGCTATGATCGTGCCACTGCACTGCAGCCTGGGCTATCTAAAAGATTTAAAAAAATTAAAAACAAAAGGAAGCAGGCATGAGCTTCTCCATACATTATAGTATTTCAAAAACAGAGCATTAGGGTCGATGATAACTTTCCATTCTCACTAAATGAGACAAATGTGGGCCCTGTACTTAGGGCATATATTGTCAGACAGAAAGCATTCTTAAAGAGATGCTTCTAATGCAGTTAGAATGTCTCCTGAGGCCCAGGGGACAATGGCAATGACCAGCCCGTGGCTGGGGCTCATCCCCCAGCCAGCATCAAGGCAGAGCAGCTCCACTTCACGTGTGTCACATGTGAGCTTCCATAACACCTTCCCTTCATACTGCTGTTCTTAAAGTTATAAAACTGTTGATTTTTTTCAACCCCTCCATTACAGATGAAGAAACTCAAGCTCAAAAGGCCTAAGTGATTGTACCCTGCACTCAGCAAAGGTTTCATACTCCCAGGCCTGTGTGTTCCCAGAACCCCACTGTGTTATAGATGGAAAAACTAACAGTAGAAAAAAGAAGAGGACATTGAAACAGCTATTGCGTTTTCACATGGCTCTTCCAACTAATTTCTAGTGCCATAAATGCACCTAGAAAATCAGCCATTTTATTCCTTGCACCATGGCTCAATTTGTAAAAGTCCTGGTTTATGTTTGGGCAGTCATTGGTGGCAGAAGTCCCTGGAAAGGGATATTCACCTGGAAACCCTTTCTCCTCTTCCACTAGGGAACAGCTGTTCCATGTAGTGACCTCTGCTCCATCCTGTGGTCACTGGCCATACCTCTCTCCTCATGGCCAATGTCTTGCAGACATATTTATGGGGTCCAGTGATAAAGCAATAATGATGTTGGCTCCCACGCCTTCTATCAGCAAACCATCTGCCAGGAGGACTCCCACTGACATCCATTTAGTACTCAGCTGCTCATTTTGCCATGACCTCTGTTTTTCAGCCTCTCAACATTGCCTATAGTCACATCTACAGCTCCTACAGGAACTTCGTGGGGCCCCCTCATTTCAAGACAATCTGCAGACTTCTGGGCTACCAGGGCATCGCTGTGGTCATGGAGGAATTGCTGAAGATCGTCAAGAGCTTGGTAAGGGAAGGCCCAGGCAGGGCTGGTAGGAACAAGATTTTGCTTTTACTTTTTACCTGGCCTGGAAAAGCAAAGCCCAAGCATTCCAGCTCTTCCTGCAGAAGCTATCCAGGGAGTCCTTTGCTGTAGTTCTCTGGTCTTATCTGTCATTCTGTTTTGTTGCATTTCTGTGCATGTTTTGATCTTTAGCTGTGCCTCCCATTTTCTGACCCTCAACTCACTCCTTGTATTTGGTGACTGAATTCAGCAATCCTGATTTTGACCTTCAGAGCCTGCTGTGACTGCTCATCCTCCCCTGCTGTGCTGTATTATCTACTTTGAGCACAGCAAATCCATGGCACTGTGCTGTCATTTCCCATGCCCTTGTCCATGGCAGACATCTCTAATCAATCACTGTGCTTCTTCCCCTTGGGATTTCTTGCTACAAACTCCCAATACTGCACTGGCTTCAAGAGAATTCTGTATCTCTTTACCACTATTCTCAATCTGCCCCAGGTATGGTCATCTAAGCCTTTATTTAATTCCTTTCAATTTGGCTGAAGCAGACCAAAACATTTAACCAAGATTTTCCTGAAAACTTGAGACAACAAAAGAGAAATAAACAAAGAAATGTATGACAGGTTGGTAATAACAAACAGGATTCACCTGCTAACTCCAGTTCTTTGGCAGCAGCTATGTGGAGCCATGGGCTGCTAAGGATTGTGAAATTAAATCCAAGTAAAACAGGAAAATGTGGTAATTGATTAAAGATGTCTGCCTTGGACACAGGACGAATGCATGTGCTATGAATTTTCCAGGCCTAAATTAGTTAGTGTGTCTCAGTCTCCACAGTTCACCAGCCCCATTTCATTTTGGCTCTTAGTCTGCGTCACCTGTAAGCATTCTTAGCCCCAGGAAGGACCCCACACCTAGAGGTGTACCCTCCTTGAAGTCTGTAAGCCTGAGAGTGGTGAGAGCTCATTTTTCCCTTATAAAGGACCTTGAGGCGAGAACCTGTCCCCCTCAGATAGCAGCACCCTACCTCCAGGTCTCTGCAGAACCTCCACCGCCCATGCCCCAGCATTGCATAGAGGGGCATGTGTGTAGCAGTGGTGGGCTGTCTCACTCACCTGTCTTACTCTTTTGTCAGCTCCAAGGAACCATCCTCCAGTACGTGAAGACACTGATAGAGGTGATGCCCAAGATCTGCCGCCTGCCCCGGCATGAGTACGGCTCCCCAGGTTGGTGATAGGACAACGACCTAGGTTCACCCCACGGTGGGGAGGGGTTCTGACCACCTGCCTTGGAGTGTTTCTTCTCTCACATGCCTGTGAGGTGGCAGACCACCAGCCTTGCTTCCTACCCTGCCACCAGCTAGATCAGATAGCTTTTCCATCCCTCTGAGCTCCAGTATCGTCTCCCATCAGTGGAGGTAAATGATGCCTGCCAGCCCCACGTCATGCGACTGCTGGGAAGCTGGGAGAGGGTAGCAAATGGGAGTATGTTTGAATCATGCATAGCTAGGTCTGCTTGCAGAGGTCTTTATGAACTCAGCACTTCCAGGAGACCCTCCTCTATGTGGGGAAGGCTGGGGCCCCAGTGGCGGTGCCAGGTAACATATCGAAGGTGAGTCAGGAAACTGGCATCTTTGCCACTCAACCTCTGGCAGAGAAATAACTGTTTCCTTCCCTGATGGTGAGTGGACTGAATGTGGGGCTGGGGAACAGGGAAAGATGGAGACCCTGACTTGGTGCCTGGTGTTGTTTTCTAAAGCCCAAGGCATCAGGTACTGCATCCATGGGATTTGGAATTGGACAGCCTTGGTGTTCAGTTCTAGCTACCCTGCTTGCTAGCTGTGTGATTTTGGGTGTGACACTCATCCTTTCTGAGTCTCATCTGAAAATAGGGGTAACAGTGCCTAGTTTGTGATATTGTTATAAGTATTAAATGAGATATTACAGATATAAAGTGCTTAGCATTATATCTAACACCTATAAAAATTAATACCTGTCCTTAGGTGTTCAGGTAACTTTTTGGAGGGGCTGGGAAAGGCCCTGGACTGTTCCATTTGTGTGTGTGCTTTGTTTTGCTCTGAAAAGCAGCTTCCCAAACTTTTTCTAGTACTGAGCCCTGAAGAAATCTCCCCCTGGGCCTGCAGACAGAGGGATGCACAATTTGGCTCTTTGCTAACCCAGGTCAGGTCTGGAACTACCAGACCAATCAGTGTTTCCCAGAAACCCGACTGAGCAGCATCGAGTTCCCGCTGACCAACCCCTCCCTCTCACAGGGATTCTGGAGTTCTTCCACCACCAGTTGAAGGACATCATTGAGTACGCGGAGCTCAAAACAGATGTGTTCCAGAGCCTGCGGGAAGTGGGCAACGCCATCTTGTTCTGCCTCCTCATAGAGCAAGCTCTGGTAAGTCTGGAGCCTGGAGGAATCAGGATATTTCCAGGCTAGAAGGAACCTCCCACTGCAACCAGATATTGGGGCTCCTCTCCTGCGCCCCGCCTGGGGGCCCTTCCAGTCCATTTTCAGACAGCTCAGATTGTGAGAGCCTTGGAAGGGCCTCTGGCTCCAGAGTCAGACAGACACCATTTGCACTTAGACCTTAACACCGTCATCTAGGTCTTAATTTTCCATTCACGCATCAAACAAATAATTGCTTCTTGGCTACCCTAGGCCAGGCACTTTGCTTGGAGTGTAGCATTAGCCAGCCCTGCCTCGTGTCCTGCCCACATTTGCACAAAAAGGCTGTGTCCACCATTACATCAAGAGCTATGAGGGACCAGTGCACAGTCCAGTGGGAATATAAGACAGAGAACCCATGTGATCTTGGGGCTGAAGGAGAACTTCCTCGAGGAGGTGGCTTGGAGAATGGGCAAGAATTTGTCAGGTGACACTGCCACAGGCTAAGGGGAGAGCATGTGTGTCATCTTCATTTTTTATGGTGGGAGATGGTGGTTTTACCCTGAAGGGTAGTTTAAAGGTTAGAAAGAGACAACACGAGTAAGTTACATACAGTGACAACTAAACAGTCTGTGGTAGTTGTCATGGTGAGCAGAAGCACACCCTGTGTGCCTATCTATCAATGCCACACTTCTTCTCACATGACCGTCTATGTGTGTCCGCAGTCTCATGGCTCACAGGGGCTGTGTTCTCTCCATTCCTCCCCAGCACGTACCTGTGAATCTCTGTTCTCCACATGAAGTGCCCTGGCGGGCCGGTCCTACAGGTGTGGGGGTGACTGGTACCCCCCGGAGTGGAAGGAAACAGGGAAGGGTGTCACCCTGGGAATGCATAACTCTCAGGACGTGGTGGGCATCTTTCATCATCCATCTATTCATCCCCACACGCGGTCAGCACAAGGTGTGGAGAGGCAGTTCACAGCCAGGCTCCATGCTGGGGGTGGATTAATGGCCGTGAACAAAAGGGACACAGCGTTTGCTATTTTTATTCTGGAGAGGGGACAGGCAAAGTCATTGTGTAGTTGCAGATCGGGATAGGAACTGTGAAGGAATTGACAAGGTAACAGGGTCAAAGGACAGTGGCCATGTTGGGGAGCAATGTGCTGTTTAGGAGAGGTCGAAGCTTAATGTCTTTAAGGTCTCGAACTCCTGGGCTCAAGTGATCCTCCTGCCTCAGCCTCCCAGAGTACAGGCGCTGTGGCAGTGGAGTCAGCTGGACAGGCCTTAAGGAGATGTGAGGGAGATTGCAAGCAGGATGGTGAGGGGATCTGACTGACTGTTTTCAAAAGCCCTGGGCTGTTAGGAAAGGAACCCACTGGAAAATGAATGAAGGCCAAGGCCATCTGCAGTCCCTGGTCTGTCTTGGAGGCAGTAGGTACTTGGAGAATGGAGGGAGAGGAAGGGAAGAAGGTGGAAAAGAGGTGGAGAAACCATGAGAAGGAAGCAGTGATACAAAGAGCCAGAATCAGACCTAGGAGAGACTCTGCTTCTTGTTGTTGGTGTGACTGGGAGAGCCTGTGCATTACATCCTGTGTCCTCATCTCTAAAACCAGGGACTAGGCCCTGCTGCTGCCCTTTCAAACCCTTCCCGGCCTGAAGGCCCTGAAGTGGGGACTGTTTGCTCTTCTTTTGTGAGGAATAACTGCCACTCTGTTAGCCCTTTAAGTGGGTTGCTATAGCAACTTAACCTTCAGCAGTCACTGGGATAAGTAGGAACTATGGCTCAAGGCTTCAGGGGTACCAGGAGACAGTGGAGGTGAGAAGGGCAGGGCCCTGAAGCCTCAGCTCCTCCTGAGTGGCTCCTGTTAGCACTTTCTTTCAGGAGGAACTGTGACTCAGAGAGCAAGTCATCTTCCCCCATCAGATTTCAAGAAGCAGAATATTTTTTTGAGCCAGGGTCTCCCTCTGTCACCCAGGCTGGAGTACAGTGGCATGATCATGGCTCACCGTCTAGACCTCATGGGCTCAAGCAGTCCTTCCGCCTCAGCCTCCTGAGTAGCTGTGACTACAGGCAAAGCCATCAAGCCTGGCTAACTTTCGGATTTTTTTGTAGAGATAAGTTCTTGCTATGTCACTTAGGCTCATCTTGAACTCTTGGGCTCAAGCGATACTCCCGTCTCAACATTCCAGAGTGCTAGGATTACAGATGTGAGCCCCCGTGCCTGGACAGGAGGCAGACTGTTAATGGGGGCTGCAGGGAAACAAAATGTCTTTCTCAGGTGCCCCCACCTGGATGGTCACTTGCATACATCACTGAGGACAGCAGGATACTCAGGATTAAAGACCTTCAGAGCTGAGAGAGACCCCCTACATCTGCAGTCCCCAACTTTTTGGCATTAGGGACCAGTTTTGTGGAATAAATTATTCTAGACGGGTAGTAGGGGGGATCATCAGTCATTAGACTCTCATAAGGAGCACGCAATCTAGATCCCACACATGTGCAGTTCACAAAGGCTTCCCATTCCTATGAGAATCTAATGTCACTGATCTGAGAGGAGGCGGAGTTCCACTCATCCTCTGCTTACCACCTGCTGTGCGGTTCAGTTCCTAACAGGCTACCAACTGGTACTGGTCTGCAACCTGGGCATTGGAGACCTCTGCCCTACAGTATGAATGTTGTAACCCTTCTTTTTATAAGTAAGAAAACGGAGCACCAGAGAGCGGAGCAACTCAGCTACGGTCACACAGCATGACAGCAGCAGGGGTGGAAGAACTAAAGCATAGTTTCCAATATTGATCCCAGTCCTTGCTGGCTAGGGGCCAGAGGAGGAGGGAGGAGGGACACAGAGCCAGGATCAGGACTCACCAAGGTATGCACTCTACTTTTGACTTAGACAACTGGGGAAACCTCCAAGATAAGACAGTGCTTTCTGAGATGAAAATGAGGCATGAACTTTCTGGAGTTTTTAGATTTAGGAAGCAGGAATTAAATAAACCTTTAAGTGGTATACCAGTTGTTCTCAGTGAAAGAGGATTACTAATAGCAAAAGGAAGAAAACAAGCCAGTATAAACTGCAAGCATCCATTCTTAGGGAAGACTCTGAGGCAGGTAAAAAAAATAAGGTGATTGGGCAACTTTGCATATCCTGACATAAACAGTAGTGAAGGACATAATACTGAGCTAAAAGCAAGTTCCAGGACAAGACACACATTATGACATCATACGTGTAAAGTCAGCAAATAAATCCATAAAATAGCACTGCACTGAGAAAAAGATGTACCAAGTAGCTGACAGTCATTTTCTCTAAGTATTAGAGAGGAAACCAGGATTAGAAGTCAACAGGGGCTTTCACCTTATCTGAATGTCTTAATTTTGTACATGGAAAGGGTATTCATGTATTACTGTTGGCCTATAAGTAATTTAAAAATAGAAGCAGCATATGCTAATTTCCAAAAAACTGGCAGAAACTGAAAGGAGGAAGTGAGAAGTCTTTTGCCTATTTTTCTCTTTTTTGTCTTTTTCTAGATAACAGATTTGCAGAGTTCTTTCTGGTTATGGGTCTTGCTGTATATGCTGCAAATACTTTTATTTTGTAGTTTACCTTTTTTTTTAAACAGAGACTAATATATTATTAATTTATAGGTTGAGGGGTAGAAATTGAAAAGGTTGGTCACTTGTACAAAAGTGTAGTTTCTTCATTAAGTTAGGTGCTTACAAGTGTTTCTCAAAACTCAGGGTGCAATATTAATAGAGAAACCCATGTGCCTATGGGGTTGTTTTTCTGGTTTATAGGGTGTTCTGGTGGTTTTAGTTAAGATAGAGTATACATTCAGTCAAATGCTTAAATCCTAAGGGTACAGCTTGATGAAGGTATGTGCTCACGTCGCCCCTACCCAGGTCTAGATGCAGAACATTTACAGTATCGTAGGTGGTTCCTTCATGCCCCTGTCAAGTCAGTGCTCCAAAAGGCACCATGGTTCTGACATCTATTCCCAGAGGTCATTTTGTTTGTCCTTGAACTTCATATAAGTGGAATTATCCAGTATGTTTTCTCTTTCCTGTGTGAATTCTGTCATTATGTCTATGAGACACGTCCATGTTGTAGATGATTTGTTTTTCATTACTTCGATGTATTCTCATTGCATGAATAGATGAATTGAGTCTTCCATTTTACTCTGGGCAGATATTTGGGTTGTTTGCAGTTTGGTATTAAGTATGAATAAAGATGTCATGAATATTTCCATACATGTCTTTGAGTGCATGTATACTCTAATTTTTATTAGGTAAATATCTAGTAGTTTAGCTTCAGTAGGTACTGCCAAGTTGTTTACAAATTGTTTGTACCAATTTATACTCCCATTCCGCAATGTCTGAGAGTTTTAATTTCTTCACATCCTCATGAACAATTGAATTTGTCCATCTTTTTAATCACAGCCAATCTGGAGGGCGTGTCATGCCATCTCCTTATGGTTTTGATTTCCCTAGTGACAAATAACACTAATCCCCTTTCCATATACTTTTGACTGTCTGGACACCCTCTTTTGTGAAGTACTGTGTTTTGTTTTGTTTTGCCTATTTTAATTGAGTTATCATTTTCTTATGATTTTTAGGCATGTATATATTATGGAGATATATATATATATATATATATATATGTATATATATATATATATATTGCAGCTGTATTACTGTGGCTTGGCTTTTGATGAACAGTTCTTAAGGTTTAGTGTGGTTATCATTTTTTTACCTTTATGGTTGGTATTCTTATGACTTGTTTAGAAAATCATTCCTATTCTAAAGTCATAAAGGCATGTTATCTTCTTAAAGTTTTTGAGTTTAGCCTTTCAAGGCAAAACAGATCTTTAAGTCTATACTCTTCACCTGGAATTGATGTTTGTCTCACTTCTTTCCAGATTGTCCCAGCACCACTTACGGAAAAGATCTCCTTCCCTTGATCTGTAGCAGTAGTGCTATGTCTGTCTTTTGTCTAGTTTCTAGAAATGGTTTGG